ATTTCTGAGTTATAGCATGTTTTTCGAAAATGTACATTTTAGAAAAACATGCAAAGAGTTTTTTTCTGTCGAAAAATTCTGTACCCTGCAATCATGCTTATTTCAATAGAGCTTAAAATTACTTTTCGAAAATTGTAGAACACTTAATATTTTGTTAGTCATCTTTGAAATACAGAGATTCTAGGTTTTTTCATATATGAAGCGCACACTTTGATCAACTAGGATTTGGCCGATGCAGCGATGAAACAGCATGCAAATCTTTACTGGTAGCTGTCAAATTTTGATTTAAGCAGTAAAGGCGTTCTTCAGTTAGCGGTTCTTGTTCAGTTTTCAAGCACATTTGCAATGAAGTGAAGACAACCTTTCAGAGACATTTTCGCAAGATTGCGACACAATCTAATCAATCAGTCAACCTAATCAATCAATAGTGATCAATTTGTAAAGGAAAGGGCAAAATTATATGAATGAAATAGGGATGAGGATTTGGTAGAAGTAGTCGTTTCAGGAGCTGTTGAAAATAATCCCAAAACGTTAATACAAAATTTGAAAATTTGAACAGGCCTACCAAGAACTAACGTTAGGATTTTGAAACAACACAAATTCAAGCCATACAGGACCACTACAGTGCATCAACTCAGACCAGGTGATTCTGAAAGTCGCATGGTTTTTTGCCGGTGTTTCCTGGAAAGTTGTAACCAAGAGCGTGATTTTTCGTTAACTTGTATTGCGACATATGATGCACTGTTTGGAACTTTTGGTGTAATAATGAACGTTAGTGGAGTTTTTCCCAACACCAAATCGTTATTTTTAACACCTCGACACGTGTTTCGTGTCGTGTAATATTGTATTGGGACAGACGAAGCTTATGTAAGCAGTGCCGGCATTTTCTACCGCAACAATTCTTATACTTGGGCACGACAAAATCCTCATTCTATTATGGAGCAGAGAAATCAAGGAAGATTTGTATTTAGTGTGTGGGCAGGTGTTTTCAGGGGTAGAATTATCGGCTCGATCATCTATAATGGCACACTCACATCTCAAAGAAATTTTAATGTAAAGTATTGAACCCCTTGTTGATAAGTGGCCACTAATAGAGCTCAAAAAGTATATTTTTAACGAGACGGGGCTTCGCCTCAAAACACTGCAACTGTCTCAAATGTTTCAGGTGCAAATTATGGTAATAGCACCCAACTGTTGGCCGGCCGTCCCTCTGGGAAAGGTTGGAAGATTTCATTTTTGAATTGTCGACCAATTCCAGATACAAACTGGAAGCGGCAGTGATACAAAGTATTGCTTCTCTCACTCCTATTGAACTGATTAGCTTTAAAAAAACGTTCAGAAAGGGTGTCGCCTGTGTGTAGGAGAAGCTGGTAGACATTTCGAACACCTTCTCTGAAGAAATATATTTCATTATTTGTCCTTTATTATTATTATTATGATTATCATTATTGAAGTAGTGAATATAGTATAAATTGTTATCAGTTTTGTTGAAACTATGCGTTTTAATTGCTGCTGTGAAAAACTTCCTCAACATTTGATAGCTACTACTGAACAATTTCTACTTGATGAAAGTTTGTGTTTGTTTCAAAGTCTACATGAAAAAACCCAAAAGCTCTCTATTTCAAAGATTACTCTTGCAAAATATGTGCAAAGTGTTTTACAGTTTTGGTAATGTTGACCTCTATTGAAATATGCAGGAATATACAAGGTTTTAAAAAATCTGTTTAAAATCTGTTTATCCGTTAACCAGTTGTCGCACCCCTACGAACGACAACCCTCAGAGGTCGAAACTTGTGCGAGCTATAGATTAACGAGGTCTTACCTTTTAACGTGTGATTCCTAACACGGGTTGGACGATAGCAAGTGAAGATCGATCGTTCAGACTAGGGCTTGAACCACCGACCAACACGGCAGTCAATTCGAGTGAGTGAACAAAGCACCCACGCCGAACCGCTTGGCTACCGACAGAGGTGTCTCATTAAAAACATCAATAACAATTCAAATTCTCATTTGAAAAAATAAGTTTTTCACACCATTGAATTCTACGTAAAAAGTGCTTTGGAAATGTTTTTTTAGAAGCAATAAATTTTTTACAGGAAAAAAGTTACAGCACATTCTCGAAGAACATGATGTAACTCAGAAACGATGATGGATACCGATATGCGGTTTTCACCATTGAGTTTGTCATAAAATTCGATCCCCAGACACAACCATCAGTTTTTATCTATTTTGAAAACAGGAGATTCCTTTCAAAAGTATCCAATTTAGCCCACTCCGTACATCAATTTACACTTTCATCCAATTGAATGCAAGTACCCACCATTTTGGAAGCCGATCCATCGATCTTCACTCCATATAAAAATAGAAAAAGCAATCCCTATAGAAACAGGTCAATTAACGCCGCGTGTAAAATCATAATCTAATATTAAAAATCAATTACCATCGTTCATTTTCCGTAGAACATTAATGACGTCTCCTTTAGACAAGGATAATTCATCAGGCTGACAGGCATTGTAATTGTGCAGCGCCTTCATTTGGGGGCAGTCCCAGCATTCGTATACGGTCTCGTCAGGATTTTCCGACTGCGGAGGGCTGAAAGCCTCGATCCATCGCTCTTTGTCACTTTCCGTGCTGCTGGAGAGAAGCTGGAAAACGAAATGTTCGAATTATTATTGACCTGAAAATGTGCTCCAAGCTACGATCAACGTCGTCAATAATATTCAATTATGAATTGAGTGGGAAGAGATTGAGTATAATTTTGATGGTTTTGACACCTGAAAACGCCCACTGCGGCTAAACATTTTGATAGTGATGCCTTAGAAAATGATGGTAGATTGTCGACGAGTTCATCATTAAGAAGAATTTTCAGACATCGGGCTGTTCAAAAAATAAAGTGAATGTTCAATTTTCGCGAGCTGGGTACATTCGATTTTCGATTTTTTTTTATTTTTTTATGTTGGTATACTCGTCTTAAACACATATTCACAGTTTCAGCTGCATACCATGTTTAGTTTGTTGGTAAGATGTTATTTATACAATTTCTGATGAGAAAGGTTTTATGAGTGATACAATATTCAGAAAAAGTTTTAATTTTCACACAATTCATTTTCTGATTGAGTTTGAAATCAAAAAATATCTGAATATTAAAAATGACACACTTGACATTTGTAGGAAAATTTAACAATAAAGATAGTACTTGTCATGCAGTGTTTGGAACTTTTGGTGTAGTGATGAATATTACTGGAGTGTTTTCCTAACACCAAACCGTCATTTCAACACCTCGATACGTGTTTCGATCACCAAGTAATTATCTTCAAGAGAAAAGATAAACTTCCTCTTGAAGATGATCACTTGATGATCGAAACACGTGTCGAGGTCTTGAAATAACGGTTTGTTGGATTGGAGGAAGATTAAACTTCCTTCTGGAGGTGATCACTTGGTGATCGCAACACGTGTCGAGGTGTTAAAATAACGGTTTGGTGTTGGAAAAAAGTAATATTTAATACAAATTACCATCTTTTTGTTAAATTTGGTCATTTATACACCGTTCTTTAAAAAATAGTGACACATGCGCTGTAGACGTAAATATATGTTATTTTAATCCGAATAAACTTTCTTTGGAATTATTAATTGACTTGGAAAAAATTATGCATAGAATTGAAATGGTGTTAAGAATCGAGAGAAAATTCGAGGAAATATATCGTCAATATGCGTTTCCTTAGTTCGGACTTCCATCGTCTAATTTGATATAAATTGATTTGAAATCCCTGAAAGAATCTGTAAATAATTAAAAATATCAAGCAAAAAAACTGAAATTACAATGAAATAATATACAAGCAATAACCAGAAAAGGTTATGATAATTAACACGAAATAAAAATTGTAAGATTCCTAGCCAAGTTACTCCACGACGTTTCGATTGTTAGTATCTTCAGTCGTCTTCGAGTGATAACTCATCTTTTTTGGTTGTTGCTTGTATTTTATTTCATTGTAATTTCAGTATCTTTTTGTTTTCAGCTAATCTTTTTAATTTTTTACAGATTCGTTCAGGGATTTCAAATCAATTTATATCATATTAGACAATGGAAGTCCGAACTAATAAAATGCACCACGAAACATTGTCAACCACCTTCAAACATATTATGATTATGTAGGTGTTACTTACACTACAAATATAAGAGCAGAATGCTAATATCAACAAGTAATATGTAACATGTTACATATGTTACAAGTAATATCGATGACATTGTCTATTAACACAAACGCATTATTTTATTTTGAATAATCGTTGAAGAAAAAGTACCCACCCACAGAAAATTTTCAAATGGCTTTATTTAATTTGACATGTTTTTTTGGGGTGAATTTAACAATTGAAGTTTGACCACAATCCTGTTGACAGATTGATCTGATATTTGTTACACAAATTTACTTTTGATGACAATACAGTTTATTAAATTCTGTATCACTGTAAATCCAAGAAGGTCGCAGCTACAAAATGGCGGATTTTATAGTTTTTCATAACTACCTAAATTTGTGTATCAAATGACAGGTCTTGACTAGTAGATTGGTAGTACACTTTGAAACAGATGCAAATTTAAGATGGCCGCAAGGCCATCTATGGAGTTAGATTGTAACAAATTGTCGGGAAATAAACCTTGTAAACAGAATGAGAAGAATTAAGTAACCAAATTAGAAACTAAAAACTTGAAAATAAAATAAGTAATGAAATGATGTTGAACGGTTTTATTGAAACAAAAAAGAAAATAATAATGTAAATAATGTACTAAAAGCTAAAAACGAATTCGAAAGGTGCTAGGCAGCAGTTAACACACCACTTTCCTCAGCAATCTACAGTATTGATCAGATGAAAAATAATAAAACTGTTGAGCGTAGTATCAACATACGAAACACGAAAATAGCAGTTTCCCATTTTCCCAAACGTTCGTTAAGGAATTGAAACAAGTATCATCCATATGAACTCCTCACAAATTTTTCCACAATTTCTTCACGAAGACGTGAAAAGAGAAAGCCAAAAATCTTTTTCCCATAAACTAAAGTGTCCAAAAAATATTCCTCTTTCAATTTGAACAAAATTTCTAGGGCTGGGATGACATCAAGCAAGCGTGACATGAGCAATATTTTGAAAGTACTTTCACGGATCGAGCGTAACTACAGCTCCAACTTTTTGAAACCCGTTCCTGAAAAATCAATAAAAAATCAAATTATGTCTCGTCTGGATCCCTCACCACACTGGCCTGGAAGGTCACGAAACTGTCGACATCCTTGCAAAAGAGAATGCTGCAAGCGGTCTCATCGGGCCGGAAACGGTCATTGGTATCGCTTTAGAATCTACCAAATAAACACTGAACATCTGGACTACCGAAAGAGATTTGGAATTGATTCACCAGGATTGGATCATTTCAAGGCGTATATACATCCTTCGAAGTATGTAACCAAACAAGCAAGGATGAACTATTTTGTCTAGCAGACTTATTTACTTACGAGTCACTGTACTCCGCATCATCGTATGCAAAGATTTAGACTGTCGGAAGACACCGTGTGTTGTCTTTTTTTGGAGAATGTGCAGAGCTCATAGTTTGTGCCTTTCATGCTGAGGACCAAGACAGTTTCTCAGAGTTTTGGCATTCGATCTGCAAAATCACATGCCACATACTAATCTGCTTCGTCAGGCGAATTTTATAACTGTTCAATATCAACAAGGCGTCTGGCCCTGATAAAGTGCCCGTCATCGTACTCAAAAAGTACGCAAATGAACTGGCATCGGTATTTACAGACTTTCTAACCTGTCTTACAAAAAAGGGGTGTTTCCTTCTTGTAGGAAGATGCTCGCGTTCAACCTATTTCCAAAAAGGGCAAGAAAAATATTCCAAATAAATATAGACCGGTCGCTTTGCCATCAGTGATATTGAAAATCATGGGAAAAGTCGTAAACCACCATATTTCAAATATTTGTAAGGCTTCCACATCTTGAGCGATCATCAATATGGCTTTTGGAAACAAAGATCATATGTCACACATATTTGGAATATCGCAATCGAGAAAGGTAGAGAATCAAAAGCTGTTGCGCTTGATATTTCTAAGGCTTTTGACCGTGTGTGACATGAGAGTTCGCTGGCCAAACTTTGATGGCCAGAAATTCTGTGTATGGCTCTTCAGCTTCCTGAAAGAAAGTTCCCTACAAGTGGCCGTCGATGGATATCTCTCGAATACTTTCACCATCAACGCTGGTGGTCTCCAACCCCTCTTTTTATTGTATATCAATGACTTATTGGAAAACCCAAGAGTCCAATAGATGTATTGCTTTGCTGACGACAGCATACTTATCTCGCCATTCCATTTGGATTCCAGGACATCGGCTACGGAGGCACATCTTCCTCGGCAGCAAGAGGTTGCATATCTTAATGAGGATCTAGGAGTTATTTCAAATTGGGGTGGAAGTAATCGGGTTCAATTCAATGCCACAAAAACCCAGGCATCGGTTTTCTGCTAGTGAAAAAATGTCTCCAAACTGAATATAATAATGTCATGTCAGACAATTCCGCTTTCTGCTTCGATAAAATTGTTGGGGGTTAAAATGGGCATCAATATGTCTTGGTACAATCATGTCGCTGAAATTGCAAAGGCTGCTTCTCAAACGCTTGGAATACTGTTCCGAAGCAGAAAACTATACACACCTCAGCAACTTTTGATACTTTATAAAGCTTAGATCGGACCTTTTTTGGAGTATTACAGTATGGAGCTCTGCCCCCAAACATATCCTGAAGTTGCTGGATTCCGTTCAGAAAAGAGCCATCCGCCTGATTGGAGACGCGAACATCACGTACAACCTTGCCTGGCCTGGAACATCGAAGAAAGGGTGGAGATTGTCTCTCTTCTATAGATGCTTTCACGAGAGGTGTTCAAGTCACTTGGCATATTTGATTGCACCAAGATCGGTATATATCAGAAATACGTGATGGACTGTGGCTGCTAATCGTTTTGAGGTTCAACTTAGTACACCTCAAACTTCACTGTTTAAGAATTCTTTCATCTGAAGAACTGCGTTTATGTGGAATAAACTTCCTGAGAACTATTCTTCAAATGGATTTAATCTCCAGCGATTCAAATCCAATGTGAGTCGCTACTTTCGCTCTGAGAGGGCCTCTATAATTTTCCTGTAGTACTTGTGTTTTGTCTTTAAAAAAAGAGCTAGATTCGTTTGGTCGACTTGAATAGCAGAGAGTCACAGTGTAGGTTTGAATAGACCCACTTACTTTGGATCTAATCTAACCCTCATGAATTGACAAAACCGCTTTTATGTAGTAACAGGTGCAGCATGATTGAATCGATTCGATGGAAACGGTACTTACACAGGTGTTAACTTGTGTTTCAGTCGAAATGTCATGTGAACGTGGCAAGTACTAACTTCCTTTGACAATTGTATCTCTTTACTTCAAAGTTTTAGAGGCTCAATAGTACCTTTATCAGGAATCCTAGCATATTCAGCGTTATTTTAATATTCAGGTTTTACACCATGCGTTCCCTCACTGTATTATTATAAATTTTGTCCTAGACTAGGATAGCTAAGCCATCAACTTAATATATCATTTAATTTATGTCTATTTGGTCCAAAAGACAAAGTAACT